TGATGTTGTTTTGGTCGAAGAAGTCCAGATACTTCTGACTCATGTGAGCTCCTGACTGGTCTGTTCGGAATCGTTCTGGAGGACCAAAAGTTTGAAGCCATTGTTCACGAAGTATCTTAAGTTCAGCTTCTTCAGTTTCTCTCTCCAACACAGCATTGATTTCGTACTTGGAGTAGATGTCGAGGATGGCCAAAACCTTTCGCTTTTCTCCATTCCAGCGGATGTGAAAAACATCAGCTTCCAAACATTCATTGAAGTGACTGGCCTGAGGCAGTGAAGCTGGTTTCTCCAATTTCCGTTGTGCCTGTTGCTCACACACTTCACACTTGTAGTCTTTGGCACATCGGATCAGAGACTCATCCATACCTGCATCTTTGAGCGTTTTGATCATCCGATCTACACCTGGATGTCCAAGTTGCTTGTGCAGTTTGCTGATGACCTGTAGGTTTTGCTTGCTGTGGGTCTTCATCAGCTTCTTCTCTTCCTCAGTGATGTTGGATGCATTCTTCACTTTGTTTTTCTCATCCTGCTCTTCAACCATATAGATCTTGGCTATCTCTCTTTGTCGCCATCGTTCTTCCATCTCCTGATAGATGGCATTTGCTGCTCTTTTCACGAAGCCTCTTTCATAGTTTTGCATTTTCTTCAAGCTTTCTGCTTTTCCATCCATAGCAACATGCTCTCCAGGAAGACATTCACATGGAAGATCCAGTGCTTCAAAGACCATTTGGCTGTTTGTGCGAATCCTCGTAGGTTTCTTGACCTTTCCGACATAGTTTCCCATGCGATCATAGTAGCACAAACCGGTCCTGCATCGGTTGCAGATTGCATCATAACCATCCATGGACTCCAGGGTTTTCGTCTTCCATGACATAGCCAAATGAGGATGCTCCATGGCCATGCCGGCATTGATCTCCCAGTTGCAGATGTCGGTGACATCCAAAACCAGTTTCAAATGTTGCTTTTCTTCTTGCTTTTGCAATTCCAGGATGTAGGCTAGCTTTTCGGCCTTGATCATGTTGAGCCTTTGCATTGGTGACCATTTCGTACACGGTGGTGCACACCAGATAAAGTGAGGCTTTTGTTCTCTCACCAACTTGAGGAATGCTTTTCGGTCATTTTCTTTTTCAAAGTCCCAATGAGGTAGGCTGAAAGTAGCGACCTCACAGTCTGGAAAGCGTTTCAACAGTTCTGTAGCCAGGTTGCCTTCATCCACATAGACCTCAAAGAAGATCAATTTTCTTTCTTGTTGAAGGCGCTGCAAAACTTGTTGAGAAATCTCTTCAACTTCATTTGCTTCGGACTCCATGAGGATCTGCTCTGCAATGTCAGACGGTTCTGTCTCACAGGGCGGTTCAATTTCCAGTGGACTTGTCGTGATCAAAACCTCTTCTTCCATGATGTAGTTCATCTCTTGTTCGTCTTCATGATATTCCAACAAGTTCAAGACATAGTGGCCTTTTTGTCCACGACTTGGTTGAAACCATTCGGATTGAGCCACCTTCATGTTGCCACTGGCGTAGTCTTGTTTCACCCCCCATTGTTCCAGCATTGGTCTCGCCAACAGGAAGGGAGTGTGCCCAGGTACCACTGAAACCGTGATGGGCAGCTTTTGACCTTTCACCAAGGCGTTGAAGGAGATTTCGTAGTTGGATTCAAGCATCTCTCCGCCGCCGAACTTGAAGGATCGCTTTTGTGCCTGAGTACGGAGGGGTCCAAGTAGGCCTTCATCATAGTGCTCGACCCATTCTTTCCACACTTCTTCTCCGACCAGTGTTCTTGTTGCACCTGAATCCACAATTGCATGACCAGGAGCAAGGGTGGCAAAGAAGATGTCCTCTTGAAAGCACTCTTCCGCTAGTTCCTCCACCATGGTCACCTCTTCACCTCCAACTTCTTTGACACCTTGTGCTTGCACTCGATATCGTTTGAACCTCGGTCCATGAGAAGAATTGGAACCGGTCAGGGTTGATCTCAACTCGGAGGAGGTAGTGGTCGACGATGATGGTGGCTTTCGAAGACCATGCATTGGGCGTCGAGGAAACATGCTTTTTCCTTTGCCTTTTCCTTTTCCTTTTCCTTTACTCTTTCCTTTGCCCTTTGAGCTTCCCTTTCTTTCGCTTTTGCCTCCTTTGCCATGATCAAAGTCAGGACCAATGGCTACGACGGGGTAGAAGCCACGAGCCAAGGCAAGTTCCTTCATTCTTTTCCTTGATTCCTAATAGGAGATGTAGGCTTCATCCATGTTTTCGTATGCTTCTTCAAGCTCCTCAGGGATTTCTTCTTCATCTTCATCACCTTCATAGTAGATTTCATGCCAATCATCTTCTTCTTCTCCTTCGTAGTAGAACTCCTCATCAAAGTCTTCCTCATAGAAGAACTCATCTTTGGATGACTTGGCAACAGGTCCAATGTCCTTGGTGTTTGGTTTGTGATCTCCACCAAACATTCGAAGCAAAGCTCGTTGGACCTCTTCATAGTCAAGCTCGCCTTTGCACAATGCTTTCACTTGCACGTGTGTCCATTTTGGAGTTCCACTTCGGGTCAACAAGTGCCATCCAGCAAGAAGTGGTGGAATGTCGATCTTGACCTCTCGAAGTTTCTTCAAAGCAGTGCGGTGGCGAATGAGGTATGCCTGCATTTCTTCTCCCTTCTGACGATTGAAGCTTTGAAAGAACTCTTCGCACCGATATGGAACCTCGAATTGTTCTTCATATTGAAAGAGCTGGTCCATCATGGTGAACAAAGGTGCGAAAGGATTTGTTCCACTTGTGATTTCTTTCAAATCTATTTGTTCTGCTGCATCCCAAACAGTGTCCTTGAGGAGGCTGATGACCAAAAGAGCACCTTCAATCTCAGCGTCCGTTGAGCGTCGACGACACTGCAGGGCATACAATTCCAATCGTCTTCTGTAGCTGCGATAGCCACTTTGCGTTAGCCCCTCGGCCGATGGTGCGGCCTTTGCCAAGCCACTATCCAATCCACGATAGTTGTTGGAGCCAGAGGAGGGAGTTCCTGGGCTTGCTCCATTCGCTGCACGTGGAGGAGAAGGAGGTATGGGGACATCAACTGGTTGTTCACCTTCTGGTCTATCTCGCTGTCTTCTTTGCTGACCACTCATTTGTGACTGCCTTGCTGAACGTGATCTTTAAGATGAGCCAATTCTCACCGGCCAGGATTACCCTATAGGCGTCTTCAAACAAAAAGTTCACCCTGGTCAAATTCCGGGAGGATCGTCTTGGGCTCCGCTACCAATGTCGAAGTACTTGAACTCACGAAGTTCCAAGCAACCAAAGAAAAAGAACTCGAAGGCCGCGATGCGTCCTTTCTTCAATGCCAAGTGAATGGCGAAGGTCGTCGCCGCTGGTGACTCAAGGGCCCTTCGGCCGGGGAGATTCGAGAAATCATATCGCGGTGCGGCGATGCAATGCCGTCTATCCGCAACTGAAAGAAAGCAAAATGAAATTGAAATCACATTCAAATCTAATGAGCATTCGTCACATTAACATATATATATAGACTACATCGTCCAATCACCCCGAGATTCCTCGTTTTCTGAACAGTTGTCTCTGCAGCAGGCAGCCTCGGTCCCTGAACCAGGCGGTTCGGTTCGGTGGTCTGACGGCTCTCTTCTTTGCAGATGGAACACATGAACACATCGAATCTCCTATTTCTAGTGCTGGCGCTAGCTAAGACAGCGTGGCGAGGCCCGAAAGCTCTTTGAACTTTTACAAGGAAGCTTTGCCACAATGGTGAAGTGTTGTTATTTTGTCGCAAGAGGTTCTTCTTCATTCTGATTGCTTATTTCTTGTCGCATGTGTTCGCTTGAGGAAGATCAAAGACCAAAAAAAATGCCATTCCTGTCTTGGATTGCTTGGATTCCCTAGCTATTGCAAAGTATATGGTGGATCAAGGTTTCCACTGATGCAACAGGGCATCGCAGGTAAGAAGACGCGTGAGACACACTCACCATAAGAAGCACGAGGCCAGTCGAGATTTAATCCATTGCAAACCAACATCTCCAGCAAAAAGTCCAATCAAGAGGGAGGCGCGACCGACAGCCCTTCAGTCTTCGGATCCAAAATTTGCCGTCGACAGCCCCACGTGAACCTGCTCATCCTCCACCTCGTATAGTGCGGTTGAAGAGTGTGATACCAAGAGAAAGGCAACAAAGGTTGAGTTCAACGCCTGCGGATCTTCAAAAGAGATTCTAACAGAAAGGGCCCCAGGACGAAGAAAGAGGTTGCCTGGAAGTTCTCAAACCACCCCAGGCAGTGGGGTTTCATGCTGGTGGCTTTTCACCCACAACCAAGGGCCGGCCGAGAGCAGTCCAAGAAGTCCTTTTGTGTCGCGCCACCTTCCTGAGGTCTGCAACCAATTTGACGTCCCTTCCGAAACGGTTCGGTTTGGGAAGGAGGCTCACATAGGTTGTTGGGTTCGTCGTTCCACCTGCGAGAGTTGGAGGGACTGCAGTTCTGGCATTTGACATTTTTCAGATGAAGAAAGGAATATTGTGATGTGAACATTGTATGATGTGAATGTGAACATTGCACATGGTATTCAATCACATAATACACCAATATACACCAGATACCTTGTAGGATTATGATGTGAACATTACATTTGGTGGATGCCTTGAAAACATCCCGTGCATTCGCCCGTCTCAGACCTTCCGTCCAACACATTACCGCGCAAAGGGCTCTGATGTTTTTTGCCGTGCTTTAGAGGACAGAATCCATGCCAATGAAACATTATATCGAGTGAACTTTTAGAGTTATACATTACAGTATATAGAATATGATAGGATCATAGAATTTCTTACCCTAGGCCTCCAAGTACCTTCTGAGAAGGTGTTTGGGGTGGGTTTGGAGGGTCCAAATACCTTCTGAGGAGGTACTTGGAGGTGTAGGGTAAAAGGGCATTCACTCTTTTCTGCTATTTTTTGGTTCACGACCTCCACGGGTGGGTGGCCATTGTCTCAGGAAGGAGTGGAACGGGAGATGCAGCAAGCCAACAAAGCGCAGGCCTAGAACTGGAGAGCTGTCTCTTGACTTGTTGGGTTAGATGTTAACCTTTTGGATCGTGACAATTGAAGAGAAACCACAAATTCAATAGCTCTGGATAGAACAGCGAAACTGTTGATATTTATCTTACGTTCAAAAGACTGAAGGCCAAACTTGTGTGTTCATGTTGTGTTTTGTTCAATCATGATTTTCGCAAAATACAGATCACTGAGGTCGCAGGCCCGCCATTTACTTCTAATTTCTTTTCAGAACATGCTCACTTTCGATCACCTTCGGTGGTTCTAGGCAACTAGTGGCGTTTGCGACCTTCTTTGTCCGAGTGCCGTTTTCGTTAGCTAGACGCTGGGCGTCAAACATCATTGATGTTCCTGGCGCTCCATGATGGCGATGCATTCGCAGGAGTATGTGCAGAACGACATGACCGAGTTTCAGCAAGCCATGGAGTGGCTCGACCATGGTTTGGGCCACCGGGAGCCCATTTTGTTGGGCGGTGCCGTTTTTTGAAGGGCACACGAGGTTGGCCCTCCCGTGAGAAAGACTCCAAAAGCACCGGCTGTATAAGATAGAGGCGTCGATTCGGCCTTCGATGGTTTTCTTCCCCAAACCATTGGAATCCCAGATGACCACGGTGATACAGAGCTTGGGCTAATGTTTGTACCAACTTGAAACCTCGCATGGGGGACGATGATCTTAGCAGCTATCCAATGCAATGGTGTGAAGGAAAACGACTCAGACTCAGGAATCACGCCCAGGTGTTTTAGTTTTTTTTTAAAATCCAGATTGGAGGTCTCCATGATTTGGAGATAGGAACAACTGATTGTCACATGCGTATCTCAGTATCTTTGCTATCGATACTTTTGGGGATGAACCGTTCTTCAAAGCGATTTGCAACCCCCGATGGTTCGACCACTCAGGTAAAGACTCGTTAAGTTTAGTCCCCATTTCTGAATGGAGTCCAGGAAGATGCCACTGGTGCTGGTATATCCCAACGACATCCCAAGACGCCGATGATGTAGGGCCTGGGCCTGGGCCAGGAGCACTGAGTATGCCTCTCCCCAGTCTGAGTCGGGGGCTGCAGGGTATTGCTTTTCATCTGCGGCAGGCAAGCCCAGCAGCGCTTGAAAACAGAGCTGCAGAGTCGCTTGGAGGCGTGACCACCCAGTGACCAAGACACCGGCTGGACGAAGTCGGCCTCAGCACGGATGGAGAGGGAGCCGAGGGCTTTTTTGGGTTTGAATCTGATGAGAGAACAGTGGAATCGGAAGAACTGTTTGGTTAGTTGGTGGAAGAGGATTTGTGTCACATGGGGCCAGATCCTGCCGGCAGCTTCAGATAGGACATCGCCAACATGATGCTGTTTTATGATGCTTTAAGATGCTTTAAGTATTTTGAAGTGTTTTTTCCCTTGGGAAGGTCCGCGCAATACGGGATATTTTACTAGAATCAAGAATGTTTCAGAGTCGCCGCATCTTTTTAGAGCCCCTCAGCCATCCCACCATTGGAGCCGGCCATCTCGGGTCTTGGAAATTGAATCGGACCCACCATAGATTTGCACTCTTAGTCCACCCACCGGAAGCGGTGCTATCAGATATTGGATGGCAACATAGATGCGAAGAGAGGTTTTTTCGGAGCATGTACGAACTCCGTGGCGGTCCATGACATGTTTGGATCAAACTCTGCTAGATAGGATCCCTACACCTCCAAGTACCTCCTCAGAAGGTATTCGGACCCTCCAAACCCACCCCGAACACCTTCTCAGAAGGTACTTGGAGGCCTAGGGGATTAGCTTTCCCAGTTCCATTGACCCGATTCTGCCAGGAGAGTCGTGCAGCGCTCGAGAAGCAGACCCGAAGCCTGTGCGTCCTGCAGCACAGCCGCCAGGAGGGACATGGCGTTGTTGGCTTTGGCTTTGGTGACTTGTGTGCGTGAATGTGGGATGATGTGCTTGGGTCATGGCCCAAAGATGTTCAGACCCAGCATGGTCTTGAGTGTTGTTTGTTTTCCCGAGGGCTTCTGGGTACCTGTGAGATGTGGCTCCCCTAGGAATATATTGGATGATGTTTGTCTTGGAAAGTTGATTCTCAAGCAGGCCTCTCAAGAGTTAGCGTTTGTCAGGATTTCAAAAGCCAAGACAATGGCCTGTTGGCTACCTGTCCGATTTGTTGTTTGCTGATTGTCCAAAAAGTATCAAACCCGGGTTGCTTGCTTCCTTGTTTGCTCAATTGCTTTGTGACCTGCAACCTTGCTGCCCTGAACGGCTCGCTGGTTTGTAGCTCCTTTGCCTTGCAACGCTCTATTGCATCGGTTTCTTGTTTGCTTGCCTTGATTGACCCTACTACTTCACCATGTTGGTAACTAACAAATTGATTTCAATTGGAGACATCCAGACGGGCTCTATTAGATGTAGACCGGTCGTAACGAGTCAACGAGACCCCTGAAGGCCGGCTTTGGAAGTCGGCTTTTTGGAACGGTGGTCCGTCGAAGTGATAGAACACATACTCTCCCTAGAACGTCCTCATGGAAGTGGACTTCACCACCTGTTTGTAGTGGATTCCATGGTCTTCCTTACGGGGCCAGGCCGTCCACGTAACCATGTGAGTTCCAGGAAGTGTACATGCCTGTGTGTCATGGCGCTCGGGGACCCGTCGGTGGATCAACGAGAATAGACGAGAATGGCACAGTCGGTCAAACGACGGACCGAGGGATTTAGAGCTCAAAGCGCTCAAAGGGTCAAACGACCCACAGCCATATCACACAAAGGAACAGAAGACACCATCGTTGCTGATTCGTTCCATGCGTCACATGCCATGAACTCGATCTTTTGCAACGGAAGAATGAGATGGAGAAGCTGGTGATGGCCGACGGTTCAAGAACCATGTTCTTGGACACCATCGTTTTAGAGGCACATCACCTGGAGGTCAAAGATGGTTGTTTTAGCTCCGCATCGACTTCTGTGATGGTGAGCTTGGCAGCAATGACGACAGACCGGCAGGCGTCAGCCTCCCTTGGGACGTGTCTAGCCATGAACTTTTGCAGAGATCACCTTGAAGGACCTTGGCCACTCCAGCTGCGCCCCAACTTGATCACAAGGACGAAGGAGTGGGCGAACCATTCTGAGGCACGAACCGTGCACAAGTTCATCGAGCATTGAGGCTCAGCACCTGAGTGGTGCATTGAGGATCAGCGCTTTGGCTCGTTGGAGGTCGATTTCGGCCGCAAACTCGAGCACTCGAGCCATGATACAGCGGCGAAGCTCTCCGGCGCCAAACGCTCTTGCGCGGAGTGCGGCAACTGCGCATCCCGGGAAGGCTTGGAGGAAAGCTGCTTAATTTAGGGTTGTTCCCTACTGTACGTGATCTCTTTTTTACTGAGACCAGGCCAATCAAGTTCGGTCACTGGGAGGATCCGGGCAGAGAGTTTTCATGTGATCATCACAGTGTGCTACGGTTTGAGACAGAACAGACGAAGATGGACAGATGATGACAGATGTATATTCTCAAGGCGGGCAATGAGAGTCTCTCTGAACTCAGAACATTTCACGATCACACTTTGTTTCAATGAATGAAGGGTGGGCGCTTTCTGTTTGGGATAGACTCTGCAAATTATCGATGGAGCAAACCACAATTCCAGATCCCTTGTTGCTGGCAGACGAACCAACAGTCACAGTGAGACCTGTCTTACGAACAAAAACGTCGGACTCCGTTGAACTGTCGGCTAAAGGTGTTCGATGGTTTTCGCTGAACAATTCCCAATTTACAAGGCAGGCTAACGAGCGTGATCGCGCCATTGGCAAGATCATGCAAGATCCCAAAGCTTCTCCTTGTGGCATTCCCCGTCAAAGGTGCAAGAACCGCCGGTCCACCCGGACCTCAAAGAACGGGTTTTGCGGTCCAATGGCAACTTGTTGTTGAAAAGATCTTGAATTATTGTGGTCAATGGCCACACGCATGCAATGCCAAGCAATCTTTAGACAACATGCATGCCGCCAGATGGGGTTTTGATCCACGGCCCAATTACTTGATCGTTGTTGAGCTGTTTTTTTGTTCTTTGTTTGTGTTGATGGTGGGTTGTTGTTGTTTCTTATATTTTTGATTGCTCCAAACACGTGTTTGTTTGACTTCTCCTCTCCCATGGCCCATAGCAGTACAATTCGTACACTTTATGTTGAGAGGATTTACCTAAACACCCCGCCGCCGCCCTGCTCCCCTTCCGGGCTCGTGTTAGCACCTTGATGTTTGGCTTTGCGAGGACATCGAGCATGCCATTGAGGGAATGAAACGGGAGCTGGCGAAGGAGCAGTGTGGGCCGGCCATGTGCTGGCCATTGCGGTGAGGTTGATGTGAGGTGGGGTGATGGTTATCGGCGGTTCTCGGTGATTGTGATTGCAGTGTTTCTCTTTGGACAGAATTGGTTTGCTTAGTGCTTTGTAGAGTCAGAATCCTGCAGTTGGAGCTTGTTGGTGGCTACCCTTTCATACATGACCCCTTATTCGAGACGTGAGATTGACAGGACACGGACACGCCGAAGTCCAGAACAACCCAACATTTTGAGTCCAAAACTCGTTAGTTTAAACATGTTTAAACACAAGGCCCCTTTTTGAAAGCCCTCGAGCCAATGAAATTGATCTCGGCCATATCATGTGTTCAGTGTTGTTCTTATAAATTGAAAGGTGCCACACCGTGTGGAACATGTGTGGAACGACCAACTCGCGTGACTTCTGGTAGATAGGATCACGTCTCCAATCCGCTGAAGGGAGAAGTGCATTGCAGAGCTTCTCATAATGTTTGCCACCATCCGTACAGGGCATCCGTCTCCGGATCCAAGTTCACCAAGAAAAAGCCCTTCATTCGACTGGTCCGGGGAGAATCCTGGAGGTTGGCATCGTCTTGCACCACCAGCCCTCTTTGTCTCAAGAAATGAACCTTCTGAAGATTTATGATTTTTTGAACGCGACCAGCAAAATGGTCATTTACCATGCGAGTGGCACGTTTTCTGCCTCTGTCTTTTGTCAGGAAAGGCCCCTCAATCACCAGCGCAAACATCGAGGAAACAGTCTCGGAAACAGTTGTTTTGTTTCTACTCGTACTATGGGAACAGAGGCAAGTGTAAGGTGAACTCCGACTGGAGCGGCGACGCTTTCTGTCCACCATCATCCACACTCGCACAAGTCATAGATTCAGACCTCGGTCCGACCAACACTCCGAGGTCCGACCAGCCAGTGGTGGAAGTGAACATGGCCACAAACATGAAAGCCCTGGAACCGGGGGAAGATTCCGAACCACCATGAACATGGTGCAACCAGTGCTTCCAGTTCGACCAAACCACCGAGCGAATGCTTCGTCCTGGAACCGTGGCTGCCTGGGATCCTTTGGGCCGACGAGAGTCGGGTCCTGGTGGGTGCGATGAAACGAAACAGGTGGCTTAAACAAAGGATCCGGGCACACAGAGATGGTACACTTCATTTGGAAGTTGGTCTTTTTGTGTTTTACTTTGTTGCACCTGAGTGATCCAAAAAGATGGGTTGTGCCCTAACATGCCGGATTCCAGTATATATGTATATGCATATATAAACTATATATACACGGTGTTTAGACGGGTTGTACCCACAGCCTACAGGAGTTTCACAACTGTAACCGCCCTCTACCGAAAAGATCTACAATCTGGGAGATAAATGTATTCCAGAGCCTCCAAAAACCAGACTGTTTTGACTTTTGACTGAATGGATCTGAGTCTGGCTGACCCTGTCCCCAAATCCCCTCAAAGAACAATGCCATCCAGGAGAAGGCTGCAGCCAGTACAGCGGCCAGCGCAGCTGCAAGTGCTGCTGAGGAGGCGGTTTTGGCGTATTTGACCTTATTTTCTGTGCGCTTGCTCTTCCTCTTGACCATGCCAAAGCCAAGGAAGCTGTGGTAGAAAAGCAACAATTGAGGTGTTTGATGAATTTTGCACAACTGTTTTGTGTGTTCATGAGAAAATCTTGTGGTCCCCAACCGTGGTCCCCAACAGGAGGCCTAAGCACTCCTGATTATATACATAATGATAACACAGGGGATGTTCTTTCTTTCTGGTTTGGTGTCTCCATAGACATGATGGAAGGTTGAGTGTTGTCAATCCAGAGTCCGAGACCATCACTCAGTGAACTCAAGATCCAGATCGGCCATGTTTGCACATCATGATACCTGTTGGTAAGGGAGCTGGTCTACCCGCATTTGATCTTCGCACCCACTAACAGTCCAAACAGTTTTGTTTTGGACTGGGACATTGCTTCATCTTCACACGGATGGAGAACAGTTGGGGGGAAGTCGTTTTCTGCTGGAGAGAGACTTTCCAGGTTGGTGTTCAATGTCAAGACCATGTTTTTCCCTGAAACAAACCGCATTCCCTCCTTTTGTTCTGCAACTAGCACATAAATGGTATTGGGGGTTGACAGAATATTGCCCTGAGAAATAAGGTAGGACCCGGTGACTATTGCTGTTATGGTTCCTGAAAGGTTTTGATCACAAAGTGGACAGATCCACAAACATTGACAGGGGCAATAGACCATGTCCAAGAGCTTCTAAGCTGTTTGTTTGCACCCACAATCACCACACAAGAAACAACAAATTGACTCAATGCTTACCGCCTATGCCTATGCAGATGTCCTATATGGCTGTGGGTCAAAAGCAGGAGCCGTAAACTCTGGTAGGTTGACTGACTAGTCAGGTCGTCCATTCCGTTCATGTTCTTTGATCAACCCAAGTAGCTCGGTTTTGACCCACACTCATAATATAGTTTGGACATGTTTGGACCGGCAAAATAGACTATACATGTTCATCACCTGCTGGAAATCGCTCACGTCGGGAGATGTGCTCACGTAGTACTGATGTTTTGTCCACGCCCTGAATGTTCGTATGAGGTTTCCTTAGCTGGTCTTGTGGGGACGAGTTGTTTTTTTTTGTTGTTGGGTATACCATATACATACATCTATATCCCGCAGAAAGTGATGAACAGGGGACTGCCAACCACGCAAGACGATGTGGTCCCTTCTGCAGGCTGCCCACTCAGCCACGAGCGCTGTTGAGGCCACCAAGGACGGGATTTGCGGCTGGGAGGAGCTGCCCTTTCCTGCAACTGCAGTCTGTCCCAGTAAAGCCTGGTCCTAAAACCCTCCTTGAGTAGTGTTTTTGTATGACCAAGTCCAGTAAAATTAGGTTTTTGACCTGTAGGGATTCTTGACATGCTACAAAACAGGCAGGGGTTGATTTGCCTTCGAGATTCCGAATGTATTTTTTACAGAATGGTTCATCCTCAGATTCCATGCTTTGTTTTTTCTTTCAGTGTTCTTCGATGCATCTACCCTCGACCCACTAATACTGACTATATGTGCATGATATATGTAGTATTCTCCCGAAAAGTGTAACACCCTAGTGAAAACAAGGTTCCAAGAGAAAGCACAATGTTCAGAAAACAACGGGGAGTTCAGTTTCCGAAACCATTCTCAGTTCCAAATTGGACACCACCTGGCTTCAATGATAACTGGTCTTCATGACATGTCTGGTTTTCACACTTCAGGAGGCCCTTCAGGAGCAGGCCAAGCAGAAGGAAGAGCTTCTGAAGAACTTCGACACCTGGAAATTGGAGGCGCTTTCGCACCGCCTCGAGCGACCAGTCGACCGATCCCAGTGGACGAGCCCGGAGAAGCCCGAGACAACCCCGGTTGGAGGCCCGAGGCGTGAGGCCTGATCGGCGTGTGGTCGGTTGGTTTGACATGTTCTGTTTGGGATAATTCTGTAGTAAATGAATGTAAATGATGTAAATGTCCTTTTGGCCACATGGTGTTCAGGACCGATCCTACTTTGAATGCCCTACCTGCCAGGAAACCTTACTGCAGGAAAATCTTCAATCCAGATCAAAACCAAGAATTTCAGGATCATTCTGAGACCCCTAAAAACACTCAAAAACACCGCTGAAACTACCGCCCTCAGGCGCTGGAGGAGGCGGCGCGGAGGGTCCTCGAAGCACAGGAGGTGGCCGTGGGAGATCTCATGAAGACCATGGATCGTCACCGTTACCAGACCAAGGCAGCTGTGATGCGACCGCCCGCGCGTGTCGTGCGGGACACGCGACAGCGACAGCCCTGTCCCCGTGGCGTGCGCACTCGTGCACACAGCCCGGTCGTGGGGAGTAGTGCAGAGTGCATGGATCAAGTGATGGAAAGGTGGCTAAGATGGAAGAGCGACCTGTATGGATTCATTCGTCACCTGTCGTACCTTTAAAAGGGACATATGAGGAATCGTGATGAACCAATACAAGCTTTGCTGGGCAGAACAGCCGCAACAAGCTCCACCAGCGGTGCCAGCCCACCATCGTGGATTTCTAGGCTTAAAAGGTTTGCGTCGATGGGTATTGAAGTTCTTGAGATGGCCACAGCCATCCGGATGAGCTGCCCGCCAAATGCCAGGAAGACACCTTGAAGACCAGGGAGGAACTTCTACAGGTCATGACAAGCAACAACAATCTCTTCGATGGAAAAGTCACTTGTCTTGTGAAGATGGCGTACTCCTAGGGACCTAGCCAGTATCTAAGCTGGTGTGATTTCGGCTGCGATGCCTGGACTGCGATGTGTTCTTAAAACGCTGAGGGTGATTCCCAGCCTTTTTTTAACAAGTGCTGATCAAGTACTATAACTATTAATGGTTCCTTTCTAAATAGTATACAGTCCAGGGGCAGTTGTGATGAAAGGATTCACCGATATTCAAAGAAGTGGAATTCCACTCAAACTCAATCCAGTTGCCGGTGGGGCCCGGGGCCTGCAGTCCGGCCAACCCATTTGGCACAACCATTCGTTCCACCTGCTGGGCACGTTTCAGGCAGTGTGATACGATGTCCTTGTATGTCCTTGTTGAAGCCAAAGGAGTCATGCCTTATCTATCATAGAAATATTAAAGATATGCCTGCAGGGACCCACAAAGTATTGAATAGATATCTCTAATATATATATATACACAATATAATATATATATATATGTTACAATATATACTATATATGATATATACAATATAAACCGTCCGTGATATACCATGCATTGTATTGTTTAGTTGCTGACACATTGTTGTTGCTTTTTGAAAGCATGGCCCTGAGTCCAGGACATGGTCATTTGGTGTTTGGACCCACATTCAGTTTGTCCATTTGCATAAAAAGTAGCTCATTCTTCCAAGCCCATTGATGAAAGGGACAATAGGGGACACGCCATGGGACCTTGATGGATTTTGCATCACTGAGGCCTGCCGGCAGTAATTTGGTTGACTATAGCCATAAACAAGTGGTCCCCCCCAACACTCCAACGCATAAGTGGATGGTGCATGATCCTTTTCACGGAACCTCCCAGTCTGACCCGAAGAACCGAGGCCGAACTCCTGCCAGCTTTCGGCCGTCGCGAGTCGGGCGCGTCACGCAAGATCCGAGGTGGTGGATTTGCAACAGCGGCTTCAGCTGCTGGCCATGGAGGCTGGAAGGCGCGGCCAGCCCCGCGACATGAGCCACCCAGAAGTGAATCAGGTTCCTCTAGAAGTACTGTGCCAGGTGTTTTACCGCAAGTACCATGTTGTGGAAAAGTTCGTAAAGTCATGTAAATTCTATTTGCACGTCCGAATTTCCATGTTTTGTTTGCTTGTAAAACCTCTACAAGAGCCGCCTTGGCATCAAGTTGCTTTGCTTTGAGCTCAAAACATTCCTCCAAAAAAGCACCACCTTTGGCAGACGCCTGCAAGCAACGGCGTGGGAGCCGCGTGAAACACGCTGAACACGTTTCAGCTGCGCGCAGCTGCGCGCAACGCGTGGCCTCAGGTCCTTGGGAGATCTCAATGGAGACTTGGAGCGTTTGCGACGTGGAGATTCCACTCTGCAGGACCTGCGACCTCTGAAGTGGAGGTCTTTTGTAGAGGAAACCCCATCAACCAGGACCTCTGTAGGACTCTTGATGATCCACTGAATTATTGGTATCATTTTTTGTTGCAGCTGTTATTATGACTCCGAGGCCACTCAAATGGCCACTGAGTTTGCATAATATATATAATACATGTACAATTATTGACTCGTTGCTGATGAAGATAATCAAGGGACAGCGGTACTGGGTGGAGTACATCGATTCCTTAGTTAAATGTTGCAACTGTCGCTCGAAGTCACGACCAAGCTCAAAAACCTCACGCTATAGAGTTTGGCTGTGGTGGAATATCAGTTTGGATTCCATGCCAGTTTACCGTTTCTTCTCTTGGTTTTGGGTTCATAAATGTTGGTTGTTGTTGTTGCTGTTGTTGTTGTGGTGGTGGATCTGGATGGTTGAAGGTTGGAGAATGGTTTCGTTTTCCACATAGCTATATAAGGTCCGTAATTTTTGGTGTGCTGCACTGTGCAACAGGCAAGCAATTGTGTTCGAATTATGCAGCGAAATCAAACGCACACCATGTTTTTGGCAAAGAACTTGCTCAAGGTAAATCGCCAGTGAGGAGGAGGATGGGCAATTTATTTGACTTGCTGATGCAGTCATGAGGCCCAAACCTTGCTGAGTGTTTTTTTCCCGATTGCGACAGCACCATACGCATTCCCTATACACAACCCGCATATTGCCGATTGATCCAACAGATGAAAAGATGCAGGCTTTGGGGATCGCTATCTCTCAACCAGATGGATGCCTATGCGAGAATTGGTCGGAGTCAATGTGTTGTGGGTATCCGACCATGGAGAAGGATGCAGTTGTGGCTATGAACACCGACAAGACCCTTATATAATTCAAGACAGGTGAGCTCACAAAGATCCACACTGCATACCAAGCTCAGCTCGGCTGAAAATAGAACTCGTCCAGTGAGGAACTCAGCATATGAAAACTACCTTCTCCTTTTGCAGATCTCCAGCATGTGTATATATGTATGCTTCACACAATTTAACACAGAGCTCGGGGCACCAAATATGGAATGTCCTTGTGATATTCCCCCAGCACGGAAAGTAACTAAGGTGAAGGGCAACAACAACTTTGTTGTGTCCAACAAGTTACGGGCGAAATGATAAGTATATTGACATTGACTATAATATACACAAACTTCAGGAGACCGTTGATCCGTTTGATCCTGCACTTTTACAGAAGATATCATTGTGTTGTTGTTGTTGCTGCGATTCTTGCGGCTGAGGGTTGTCGTCGTCGTCGTTGTTGCTGCTCAAAGCCCTGCTCTTTCCCGTTTCTACTAACCATCCATAACCGTCCAGCATACGCCAGCACAGCAGTGGGTGTTGAATCTCTCAGACTCTGTATATATCCGCTGTGAAGCTCTCTTTTAGATTCCATCCCCCTGTGAAACTCGACCTGTCACACCTCGAGCTCCCGGTGGCCGCACGGGGACGTCCATGGAGCATCGGTGGATCGACAGAGCGACGTCCGTTCAGAGCAACAAATGGGACTGGAATATAATGGAATGTATGCCGTTATATGTCATTGACCCCAGGTCAACCACCCAGGTAAATCTGCCTGTTTCTGGAGGCTTTTTCCTGTGCGTTGGGACTCCACCCGGGCTCCACAGACCGCTCCAAGAGGGTGGCCGGACCGCTCCAGCTCGCCTTGGCCTTGTCTCCAGGAGAGCACCTTGGACTTGACCTTACCCGGGCTCCGTGACCTCCGCGGCGCCGTCACCGATGAGCAGAAGCGCCGCCATCAGGAGGCACAACGGCTCGGGGAGCGGCTGCAGGAGCCCGGGGAAGGCGGGTTTCGGCAGCGGACTGTGGAAAAGATGAACACAGAAAGATGCTTATTAGTGTTTATAAGACTAATAGGACTACAATCAGAAGTGTGCTTGTGTGTGGTTTTGTTATGTTTGGTCTTCTGGGGCAGATGGGTAAGTCGGTAAGTCAAGTCTAATCAGCGTCACCCCTTTCAGATTCTTCTGTTTGTAATATCATGTAATATCGAATATTATTGAATTAATCATGCATGTATGTTTGAAGAGGATTTTCCATGACATGTGCAACATCGGATGTTCTTTGAGCTGTCCAGCCTGCCCACTTCGCAACGGAATGAGGAGCAATGCCGTGACCACAAACTCGGCTCTGGAGGAAGGCTTTCACAATATCAGGAGCGACGCTTCCCACCGGGCGACGAGTCCGGAAGACCGGTCCCGAAGTTCGGGAGGGCGGTTGGAGAGGCTGCGTTGGTGGATGACCTTGATGTGGGGCTGTTGAAGATGTTACTTTATCCTATTGGATAGAGATATGAATTTGGAGATGTTCAAAGGTCGGGTGAAAAAGAAGCTCTCGTGGCTTTTTCATCAAGCAAGAGTGAGCTTGCAAACACAACATGTTGTCGCGAGCTCGTTTGGGTGTGTCCGATGATAAGCATCCGAGCCTGTGCGAACAGTAGACTCATGTGGACCCAGCCCTGCCCCACTGGTCTGACAAACCTGGCCACCCCAGTTGTGTGACAACATGCTGACATTCCAGTTCTTTCACATCATTCAGGCTCCCGGCTCCTGCATCCCTGTTATTGAAGGCTTTTGTTGGAAGTGTTCCCTTTTTTTCAACCAATGAGGTCACAACTCTTGAGCATTCAGAAATCAACTGGCTCTGGTCATTCCCCGCAGTAAAAAACCTTAACATCAAAACCATAAACAAAATCTCTTTGTTTCATGAACACACCCTGGGGATACCACGCTCATAAACACCCGGGGCACGATCACGCAGGAGCCAAGTCATGAGGAGAAGGTCTCCTTCACCGTGCTTGATGGTTTGAAGGGCTGCGAGGTTTGCTACGTCGTGCGCGATAGCCCGAAAATCGTCGTCCTGCATTGCGTCCTGTGGCGCATCGGCGCATCGGGATGCGTCGCCCGTGATAGAATGCCCCTGTGGTTGTTTGGTTAGAATCCAATGGTGAGAACCAAGAGAGGCTTGACTCTTTTTGTTTGGCATTTTTCCCAGAACTACATAGCTTGCAAACAGATTATAAATATAGCATATTCAACACTAAATGTTGTGTGTTGTTTGTTGTTTATTGCTCATGTGTTTCTTAGTGGTTGTGGTTGTGGTTCTCATTGTGGTATTGTTGCTTTTGTTGTTGTTGCTGCTGTGGTTTACACATGTTGATTCGTCAGTGGCCTTGCAGGTTTTAAACCCTACCACCACGTGTTTCAGTACAACTTGTGCAACCGTTCACAATGCCTTGGGGGTGCTAAGTCACTACCGCTATATGTGGTTCCATATCTAGACGTTCTTTTGTTATTCGTTTGCATATGAGGTCGGGCCAGTTCTATTTTCTATGACCTATATATATGGCCGTGTGGACTGCATTACATCACATAGGCTCAGTACGAGATGCTTTGGAACAATAATTACATATGACACCTTTTTATACTGGCCATACTGGCCATGCCTCACCCTTCACTTCAAGAAGTCTTCATGATTTGGACAGAGCATGTCCAAGCATCATTGGTTGACCCGGCTCAGACTCGAAAAACATCTCAATTCAGGTGACCGAAAAAAAAATGACTTGACGGTGGGGAGGGATCAGAATCCAACCCTCCGACCAAAGTGGCACACGGAAGTGGAGTCACAACCCGGTTCTTTGTTTCGGGGCCCATGTTCCCCGTGTGATGTCGTCAGAATCCTAGGTCCAACGGCACCCCTTCGTTCTCACTGTCGGAAGGAACTGGGAACTGGATAAATCAGACTCCTACAGCCTACACTCATCCGGTGTATACACTCCGAATCACTCCGAGATGTGTTCGAACCCGAATCATTGGGTTTACTCCATTTCGACGTCCAGTCGCTCTCGGGCGAACTGCCAAGATCGAAGCTTCGATTCGTGTGAAGCACCGCTTGACAGGTGGCCTTGACCGCCATGGACCGCCGGGTCACCAACCTGGAGGATTGTCTCGAGGACGGGGGTGGATGGTGAAGGGTCAGAGGATCTCAGACGTTTGATGAGTTTGATGGGCGAATTGAACGAATTGGATTAGTATGGATTGGTGGTGATTGGTTTGAAGGGGCTGTTTGTTCGTGGGCTTTGCTGGGAGTAACAAACCACCCAGATCCGAGGTTGGATCCTGGACAGCAAGTGAATTGGACGAACTTTTCAGCTGAAGCACTGCTGGGGAAGATAGGTTGATTGGTCCCTAACCTTTACAAGCAGCTCTCCCTTTCAAATCCGGCAACAAGGGATGACAGAATTCCATCTAGGGGAGCAGGAAGTGATACGGAAGGCCTCAGATTTCAGGATGCCAAGTTGCAGGTCAACCAACGGCCGAGGGAAAATTTCATGCACCCTGGAACTGGTCAGAGAATGTATGGGACCCATGATAGTGCGACCATGTTGCTAGATTGGTACTTTCAATGATCCAGTAAGCCATAGTAAGCCACAGCCAACTTCTCCTGGTAGAGCACCCCGGCAGCATTCCAAGGACTCGCTAGTTCCATTCTGCTAGCAGCAGGTGGATAGCAATGACCTTGGTCATAGTAGGTGGTATTGATGCGACCGTGGGATTTTACGATTGACAGGACAAGCTTTATGACCTTGTTCGGATGGATGCCAACAAGCAGCTTGACCAGGATGAGTGTCAGTGCTGATTCCGTCGATGTTTGATTCCGTCATGAATTTCTGGGAAGACCCCTTCATTTCAAACAGAATGTCTAGGACGCGGCAAAATATTATATATCCCTTTTGGCACAACTTGGTCCCACGGCGGCAACAGCCCAAGCACGGATGTATCGTGATGTACGCTGAAAACATGGGCCGTGTTGCTGCCGTGTTGTGTTATTGTTTTGCTATTGGGTTTGATTCATGTACCGTTGGGTTTTGTGTCAGCCGTGGATCTGGGGATATTCCATGTTTGTCAACCTGTGTATTTAGACATGTTTGGACCATATATGACCATAAGTTCAATGTAGACAACTGCCAGGACACGCTGTTTGTCGTGCAGCCCACGGTTGTGTCACTGGTCTGTTCGACGTTCGACTGCAAACGCTCGCTCCGAGACCGAGGCCTCCGAGCTTTTCCACCAGACTGAAAACGAGTTGCGCAATTCGACGATTGCGTTGGACCACATCATATGATAATTAATAGTATATATATTATTATATATATATCATTTGACAACAATATGTGCATGTGTTTATCTTCTTTTCTTCGTTCCATGAACTGAAAATGTCGCCACCAATTTGGTGGTCCCAGACATCTTCCTCCCAAAGCCCCGAACACACAGAAAACACAGTGGATCTTCTTCGCGCACGTTACCCGCAGATCCGCGATAACCCGCGCGCTGATTCCAGGCGCGCGGCGTTGCAGCAGGGCCACCTACAGGAGATGGAGCAAAAGGTCGACAAGCCCGGGAGACCTGAGTGAAACTGACAAAGCAGCGTGTGGGGCGGACGTGCAGCGGAAGATCGTGTGGGACGTATTTTTGTTGGAGGGCGTAGCGTAGGCCAGGGGCCGAAATATGTTTTGGATGGCGGGAGCAAAGAACATCTAAATTAAGTTAACTATAATTAAATGATATATCGAAATTATGTTTTGCTTGAAGGTTGTCATTGCAGGTTGCGGGTTCTTGACTGACACCCACAAAGTCACTTTGAAATACTTTGAATATCTTAGCACTATAGATCAACAACAACCAGGTTTCACGGTTTAACTTAATTTTACTCTCAGTCTACTTCTCCTAATGTGCGATGTTAAATGCAGTGTTCTGATGCGCATTACGCGGAGACATCATGCACCTAGAGCAAGGCATGATATGCACAGTTTGGTTTTCATGAGTTTGTAGAGACCTGTATGCCATGCGACGATACAAGTGTGCTTCGACATTTCCAAATTCTAATCAACACCCAATCCATTCCTTATCAACTGTCAACCCACCACGGCCAGGCGTCCCGAAATTCTTTGTTTTGTGGGCCGTAGCCTCTCGACATGTTCCCACAACATATCCACAGATATTCTCGACATTCCACTGTCTTAAAGTTGTTGTGCTCAGTTTATCCAATCGCGAACTTACACGAATGGACTGACTTGTTTGTCAAGAAAAACACTGTTTGCTCCCCATCAATCAACAAACAAGTAGAGCTGCTTTCCAGAGCCTTTGTATTCTGTTTCCGTAGTATTCTTGCCAACCGATATTCTCACCAACCGATACTATAATATTCTCTTCACACAACAGTAGAGCTTGGTGTTGCCAATGCGAATCTCCTTTCCGAAGGTATGAACTCGTGCCCTGGGCTCCCACCTATCCTCAGATGAGCAGCTCGATGCATGTACATCAGCTCGCCAACAGATCCCGGATGTTTCACAAGAGCCAGATGTTGAACGAACCAATCCTTTGCACCTTTCCGTCCACCGAGTTTGCTCGGCCACGGCTGAGGTTGGTGCACACGCTTCACACCCCCTCGGGCCATGAAACGGCCTCCTTCAGTGCCCCGGGGCCCTTGCACTCGCGAGATGCCTGGCGAGAGCAGTTCCGCTCCGCCTTGCGGCTGGGCGGCAGAGGTGAGAATGGAACATGGAGGATCGCCATGGGATAGATGCTTAAACGTGTTTCTACTTCAGAATCCATGTCAGTCCAATTCAATCTGATATAGTCTATAGTCATATTTATATATACACATGTATGTACGTAGTACACATATTGTCTATATCCAAATAAACAGATGGTCAACAGTGAGGACCCAGCAGGTAGAACCTTTTTATCAGACCCCCCACGACTGGTCTTGGTCGTGTCAGAGGTCGGTCAGACTTGAGACGACCAAAAGACCAAACGACTTCTGTGTCGTCCTATCATGGATCCAGACGTTCTAGCTAGCTTTTTGAATCATCTGGGGCAGGATGGAAGTCCATGGATGAAATCGTGCCGTGGTTTTCGCACCCAGGTATGAGCATGGATTCTCCAGCGCATGTTTGCTCGTGTTCTTTGTTTTTCTTTCACAATCTTGCACCGTGCTTTTACTCTTGATGTACAAAACTACAAGACCTGACTATGGAGTGATGAGATAAACCAGTTTACACTTTACACGTAATCATTTTCATAAACCTGCAGGTTCAAAGTTCATGTTCTTAGACCAGCATCCCGGACCAAAACGACAAAACCAGTCCACCCATGTCCTCCCGGTGCTTCCAATTGGTGAAGACCAGGCGTGGCGGAAAGCCACCGGAAGATGTCCTGAGCGGTCCTGAGGAACGACTCCAGCTACGTGAAGAGGGCCTTGCAGACCACTCGAGCTTAAGCGAGCGACTTCCGCTCCCGGAGCGAGCAGGGGATTGTTACCGCAGCTGGGAGTTTGGGAGAGTGTCCGCCATCTCATATGTTGCCAATCAGGTTTTCAAACACTTGCCGTGGCAGCAACAACTGGAAGGTTACTGTATAATACATTATAATACTGTATACATTTGCATATGACGTTTGATCCTCGTAATTACTTGTACTGCAAAAAACAGCTTTTGCAGATTGCAGAGGTTTCCTTTCTACAGCAAACAGTTTTTTAGCAGAGTGGGTTCCCTCTCTACATCTTTCTACAGCTTCGAATCAAGTCCAAGAAGTTGAAGCCCTGCTTGTATCTCCTTCTTCTTTGTTTTGATCGTAGAGGGCACCGGAACACCCAGGGAGAGCTTTTGGGATGAGCGAACGCGCTCTTCCCGCGTGCGAGATCTTGGGACCCTTGACGGCTTGGACTCCAGCGAGACGTGAAATCGATTTTGGACGGTTTGATGTTGATTTTGGACGGTTGACGGTTGGTGCTTGCAGTACTAGCCAGCTGGGGCCCTGGACGGTGAGATTTGCTGAATGATGAACCTGGTCGGTCGAACCTGGTTAACACAAAAAAAACAGAAGGTACTGATATAGTAACAGTCATCTACTTATGGATATGATGTTTACTGAGTCTTGGTGAGTTTGCTCAAACATCTCGCAAGCAAAATAAAACATCATCGGTGTCCCTCGTGCAGGTGCACCGTGTCATGAATGGTCGATCGAAGAAAACCACAAAGCACCACTCCGACACATGGTGACATGTGTGAAGGAACTCTATCCGATACTCTATCCAAGGTGTTTGAAGATCTAGGTGACGTCTAAGGCAGCTTCAGCAGATGTTTCTCGTCTCGCAGTCACACATTTTCAGGGTCCAATGACAATCAAAACTGCCAAAGATGTGCATCTTTGCCGTGTCAGAAGTAGTCCTACAAAAGATTGAGTAGTCCTACTTGTATGACAGACAACCATGAGCGTGTCTTTCCTGAAAAACTGTGGTTTCTCTTGAAGGGTCCCACATGATTGATGGTCACTTTCATTGAGTCCCTATGCTGTGGTTTAGAATGTACTTGCCAGAAAAAGATGAGGGTGACATAGATCCCAACAGATTTCCGCAGGTAGTTTTGCTTTAACAAACAGTCACCACCACTTGGCACCACCTTCGACTGCCAACATGTTTGTTGAGCATCAGGGTCGCCGGTCTCACTGGAAGGTCTAGACACCTTTTTGCTCTATTGCCCTAAAGGTCCAATTGTTAATGTTAAGTTTTGTTAAGTTTCATGTGTTTTCTTCTGGCAAGCAAGGAGATGCTCCCAATGCAATCAATCTTGTAAATAACAGACCCTTGATCAGCAAACCCCCACATACGAAAAGGCTTTACAATCTAAATGGTGGGGGATTGTTAGTCAACAGTCTACATTAAAATGTTTCTCTTGTAAATATGGTGGCTTTTGGCTTGCCATTCCTTTCTTATTGCGTTTATGCTCCTAATGCAAACAATCTTGTAAATCCCAGGCTGAAATTTACATTGTCCCTTGTCCGCAGCCTTCAAAGACAATTCCAAAGAATGGTTGACCTGGTTTTGTAGCGTAAAGATGCGCAAAGTCCTTAGCAAAACAATCCCTGAGGACCCGGGAGACTGGTTTAGCTAGTACATGTCGACATGGACTGCTTAAACTGCCTAACTCTGCCCTCCGGCTCTCCGAGCACTTTTTCTAAGCATTTCTCCGATCACCGCTTCCAGGCAGCCACCATGTCGATCCCGCAACGTATATCACTCCAACTGTAAACACAGTGCACCACACATGCATTAATAAACGTGCATGCAGTACACTGCACATGCATCGAATATGTTGAGCCAAGCAGCCTCAAGCGCGCCACCTTCATCAAGTAGCTCTCGCACTGCTGGCCCGAAACGTGTCTGGCCACATGCTTGAGCACGCCGATGCTGGCCACATGCTGCTCCTGCACGTTAATTACCCTGGCAGGGTGAATAGGCCAATCGCCAGCCACCCCAGCATGAACAGCAAGTTCGAGTCATCCCTCAACCGCTTCCCTCAGATGCCCTTGTTGTCGATGTCCACAAAGGTGAAGGTGCATGGCATCTTAGCTTCCACCCACTAGGGAAAAGACCATGAGGTTTTAGGATATTTGATGTCAGGTTACCAGCCCATTTCCAATCCTGAATCGGAACCATCGATCGAAGCACCCATGCTTGCAGGTGAGCTGGGCCCGGCTGCACTAGCGACTGCAAGGGTGGAGTGGAATCGAGGGCGGGCGCAGGCCACCCAAGTAGGTCATTCACATTTTCAGGAGATCTATCAGATTATCAGGTACCATCGTGCAACAAGGCTTCGAAGTCCGCTCTTGTTCAAATAAGTGTATGTATATATATATATATACGTGATTTCATGGCAGCCCTGAATGGAAACAATTTTCGGTCAAGATTTGTTCCACTCACATCGGCCGTTGGTTTTTTTGTTCGAATCCAGGGTGGATTGGGATCATATGACATGGAGGATTTGGCTGGGAAACTAGCCAGCTGGTACCCATATTAATTCATTTGCCCAGATGATCGGAGACTGCAATTTGAAGAAATATGGTCGTCCATGCCCCAGCATACCGCTAGTTGAATCGAAGCTAGCCTGTTGGGGCTAGCTAGACTTAGTGGCCCATCCACGGTCCCATCCACTATGCGCCATTCGTCTCAAGCATCGGAACCGAGTCGGTGGTGGGTGGGACAAGCGGGGTCATGGGATTCACATGGTCAACCTACCTGCATGGATGAGTTCTGGGCAACCCAAATGCCATCACCCACGAATCATCATGCGATCGATCGATTCCAGGTCCCCCCCACCCAATGTCTGACCCAGATGCACGCTTCTTCTTCAGGTCACGCATCATCTTGTAGTGCGGGATACCAGCTTGCTTGCACGGCTGCTCCACCCGGATCTGTGAACCAAGTCGGTGTCGACTATATCAGCTTATATAGGGCAGAGTTAGGCAGTTTTAGTAGTCCATATCAACATGTTAAACCAGTCTCCCGGGTTCGAAGGGCGCGATGGGTGATGGGTGTCGATGGGCCATGAAGGGCAAAGCACCGTGAAGGGAGTACTGGGCAATACCTGCTGTACGGTAAAATCCACTCCCCCCATCCCATGCATGAGTCAACCAAGCCCGAAGAACTTCCACCACGGCGTCAGGGGGCTTCGAGTCCGGCATGGCGCAAAACCGATCGATGGGAATCGACGCTTATATAGGCTAGTTATATAGCGCCGATATCGATTGCACGTTAATGTTGGGCATTCGATCTGGACCTTGCAATATTGGCCTTGTGCATGGTCATGCATGGTCCACCTGCGGCATGAACCTCCTAGCCTATTGGTCATTGAAATTGCGCACGCATGGTTCTTCATGTCGCTTCATGCCATCCTGTTCATGACATGCCTAAGCCAGGTCATGACATATATCATGGTTGACGTCATGTTCGATTCAGTGACCCCCGCTAACTGTGCCAGAAGGCACCATGCATCATCCTCATCATCCAAGGCCACGCGGGTCTCATAGACTCCTTGTTCAGCGGTGTTGGTGGCGCATGGCCCACCCCTCTGGTTTCAAAAAGGTGTGGCTTCGAACCGCACGCTTCATCTCCCATCGCTCCGGCGTGGACAACGACCATGGTGAAGGAAAGGGAATCCATGTGGATGTACGCTAGTCGCTTTTAGATGCTATGTTAATGTCCCGATCCTGTGCCCCTAGATGTTGCAAATTTGCTGGTTGGTTTCCTGCTGAGTACTCTAGTCTTTGCAACTTGGAGGGAACTGTCTAGCAAGATCTCTTTCGGGCATGGTATCACGCAAGTACTTTTTCAGGTGCATATATATTGATCATACCTGTATGGATCCTGTGCCACACACACGCCCGCCTCACTGTGGCAGCAGCCCGCCTTTCTGGAGCAGAGCGCAGACTGGGGCGGCAGCGAAGTCTGGTCCATTAAATGGGAGAACTGGGTCTGTCTTTGTGCAGATGTTTGGCCGCATTGGGCGCGCGGATTTGACAGTTGGCTTGGCATCTTGTCAAGACTGCTCGGGTCATGGTGCCGAGCACCGTTTGCCCCCCCTGCTGCAAGCCGTGGTCGGCAATGAGAAAGAGGGCCAGGCCAGTCGCACACCGTTTTGTTTTTAGTTTTGCAGGTCGCTTTGCGATGTTCGCTGCGTGCGTTAGTTGTTCCGATTTTTCGTAAACGAACCGATTTAGCTCTGCGTTGCGTTGCAACCCCCGCCTTATCAATGGTCGGGTTTTGGTCGCATCCGCTCCATGGTTCCAACCGCCCGACAAGCGCGATCATAAAAGAAGAGGGCATGGACGTCCCTGGTTTCCTCATGCAGGTGATTTGTGGTCAAATCTCATCGGGCTGTTCGCGTTTATAAAGGTGTGTCCCTCTTCCGCACTCCTTGCCTTCTATGAGGCCTTGCTTTGTTAGCCGGTGGACCTTTGCGTTTGCGCTTTGGTTTGCTTGGGAGGCCAGGCTGAAAAAGAAGCGCCATCGGCCAAGGCAAGATCATGACGAGGGCCATGCATATATTTGTTTATACTCTTTTCACGTTTTACAGAGTCTTTTCACAACCAGCAAGTCCAACATGGCTACACCCTTAGTTGTTCCAGGGAGCTCGCTAAAGTGCGTGGCATCTCTGAAACACAGAAGCGTCATCCCAGGACCTTGCAAACACGTGGCTGCCCGAATCCTTGTGCTGGCATCAACTTGGTGGGCTGAATTTGCTGCAGCCTTGACGTGGCCAGGTGATTCCTGCTCCTTTGCGCCGTGTCGGGCCGGGGGCCTTCAGCAATGGAAAGGCGAATGTTGCACGGCAATTTGGGTAACCCATCCTCCAGCCACACCCCACCTGCCATCATCGGATTTGGGCCAGGCACTGCTCGCGCGGCGTAAACCTCGTGGCGAAAATAGTCAAGACCTGACTGATATATCGCTGATGTACTGATGCCCTATCCTGGTGACTTGTTGAATCCAGCCCAAAGCTCGTTGTTCTATCTTCTTAAAGCGACGGTTTTTAGGATTGAAATGCAAATCTGCAAATCGGAGATTTTGTCAGGTTTTGAAGCAGGCCTGGCGCAGCAAGAGCACCTTATTGGTATTTAACAATTTGCCAGTCTTGCTCACTTCACAGCTGCGTTTTTGGTGACATTTGAACATTTGTGCGCTTCAAAACTGGGCTCTGTAGAAATCACCCACCTTGGGCACATGTATACTGCGCACCGCTGAGGAAGATGGCGCAATCGGATTTCCTTACAAACTGTTGTTTTCTTTTACAAAGGTGGTTGGGAGAACGAAGGTTGCGAGGGTCTGTACAAAACACAAAAACATCATAAATCCGCAGTCTAAAGAAGAACAAATTGCAACAACGAAGAAGGACAAAGAGTCACAGTGTGTCCAGATCTGACATATGAGCATGAAGTTCACAAACCACCACCACCACCACCACCATCATCACCATCAGCATCACCATCACCACCACAACTCAAACATCACCGCTCCACCATCACCGCCACCGCCACCGCCACCACCACCACCATCAGCATCACCACCACCAGCAGCAGCAGCAGTAGCAGCAGCGGCGCCACGTCATCACTATCACCATCATCGCCCCCATCACCCCCATCATCCCCACCACCACCACCACCATCACCACCTTCATCACCACCACCACCACCATCACCACCACCACCTGAATCACCAGCACCATCACCACGGCCACCGTCCCATCACCTCTCTTTGGGAGCCCAATACCCTATAGATGTTCTCACCTTCTGCTTCTACGCCTCTAAACCTTACACCTCCCTCTCAGGAACACGCTGGCCCCGCTCCGCTCACGCTCTCGTTCATCGTCCTGTAGGGGGTCGGCAGATGTTGTTATTTTTCGGTGGTGTGTAGGCATGACACGTCACATGTCCATCATGGAGAGTTGATTCTGTTGCACACCTTTTGCTTGTCAATGATGCATGCAGTTTGCGCGAAAGGTCAGCAGGTAATGAGTAGGGCGCGCTTGCCGGTAAGTTCCTTAAATTCAGGCCATCTCAATGGTTAGCGTGAACCATCACTGAGAGAGGGATCCAAATCATTCTTGCTTGTAGCCACCAAACACCGGGTTTGGAATGAATATGGTTGTTTGTCAAGAACCCTCGATCGTTTATTTGATTAGGCTGCTCCGATCATGCAGATTGGGAACCCCCAAAAAAACATGTATTTAAATGTGATCATAAAGACTGCTATTTTGGGATTTCAACAGATCAACTTTAGGCTTGAAAAGGAACCCGCCTAAAGCGCGCAGTGCGAGAAAACGCGCTTGCCAATGTCTGCGATCAATGAAAAGCTGAGCCAGCAAGGGAAAAATCGGCGGACTGACCATGTAAGCTTGCATGAAAACAACGCATCCAACCTGCACCAGTGCCTCCAAGGGGTGTTTAAACATTGTTTTAGGTTAAAACATGTCCATCAACCATCCCTTGTGGGCCCTGGTATAGGCAAGCATACTTGGCAGTCACCGGTTGCTTCGCTGGGTTGGCAAACCGGCCATTTTGGTGACGTGGCATCCAGAGGTTCCCACCACTTGTATTGTTCGGAGGAAGACCTGGTGCTAGCGACATCGTCCCATGGTTTAGTCCTTGGTTTGTGTTCAACATCCCTACAACAGGCATGTTGATAATAAAAAAATGTGTGAATTTGTAGTGAAGATCCGAATTCCGTGATTGCTGCACGATACTGTAAATGTGTGTTCAGAACACGGGGTCGCAAGGGACGATCTCTTGGTTGTGTTGAGGAAGGCAAGATTTGTGAAACATTTGGGAACAGAAATGCATATCAGGTTTGTAGGTGTATTTTGTATGCATTGTGTTTATTTGTTTTTTTTTTTGTGGCATTCCGTAGTGCAGTGCAATTAATACCGGAACCAGTCTTTCCCACCATCGTTGGTTTGTTGGTGTTCCAAATGGGGCATGTCGCCACCTGGTGACCATCCAAAAGCTTGACTGACTCGCATCAGTCGGATAGCATTCGCCCCTAGATTGGCAAGATTTCTACTAATCAAGGATGCATAGGAAATTTGAGATCGGCCAGATTCCCGCTGAACAAAAGGATGCATATAGGAACGATTAATGAATCCAACGCGTTGCAGAATAAACAGATTTCATTTCAGTCGATGTTCATCAAGCAGCAGCCCATGTTCATTTGGACGGCTTCGCTCTGGCTTTGCCCGGCACGAATTTCCCGAGACGAGTTCACTTTAAGCCACAAAACGTCCATATGATCCGTATTGGACATTTCTCGAAAGCAGAAAAACGTCCCTGGGTAATACACAATACATACCAGCACCCTCCAACAGGTGTTTCCTGCTTGTAACAGGTGCCCCAAAATTCACCAAACAACACCTGCTAGAGGGTCCTGGTACCTAAAACATCTTACACACACACACACACACACACCTACACACCTGTGTCAAAGATGCCACCCGGATCTGGAACATCACGACCTGAACTGACTTCAAGACTGCGCAATGGCCGGCGCCACTGGCGTGCTACGAGGACGGTTGGACCCCAGGTACTCCGAGCGTCGGAGGCGTTCCGGGACGAAGAAAGAGGAAGCATGACTCGGGATGAGCAATGGATACATCATGATACATCATATATATATATATATCGACGTGTTGACCAGTTGAGGTCAGACCAGTTGAGGTTGATATAGATATGGTTCCGATTAAAGGCTTTGCACGCACGTGATATCAGTGGTGTTTTCTACGGTATCTTGGACACTCAATTCTTTAGAGGAATCTCAATAATGATGCATGTATTCAAACCTGCTGGATGTCAACTATTTAGAGATTTTTGAGATGCATGTTCCAATTCACCACATCACCTGCAGTGTTATAGAGTTACCTGAATAGATAGATCTCTAGAGCTTGGGCACCCTATTTATATATAAATATTATATTATATAACATAGAGTCTAGCGAGAGAGAGAGAGAGACAACACAAAAAATAGAGGATGAGTCCCCGACTCAATTCCAACAGGGATCTCCTTTTCGTCAAGCAAGCGACGGGAGGGGAAAAACAAACTTATTGAATGAAGTGCGAAGTTCAAGTGAATGTCGTCCAGAGGTCTTTGCGGTGAACACAGTATTTGTCCCACACATCTTCCCCACCGGATCCTCACGCAGAGGTCCTGGCGTCCCCATTAAACTCTTGGACCTCCCGTTCAACTTGCAAAGGGGATGCAACATGGTCGTTGTTTGCAAAAAATGGAGAAAAGGAACTGCTCCAGAAATCAATGGTGTACTGGACCGTTTCTTCCAAACACGTGGACATTGGACAGGGCTTGTTTGGGAAGCATTTGTTCCCTTGCATTCATGGCGGGGAGTGGATCAATGTTGACTGGTGAAATAGCCCTACTTTGCTCCCATTGTTTCCATGTTGTAAAGCCACACGCACTCTTGCTTGTTCCTGCGCTCAACACTGTTCTAGTGGCCGTGTTGAAAGGATCCGTCCACGTCGTTTGCATGGGACAAAGGCCACGTCCACCAGCTGAGTCGAGGTATCCGGATCCACCAGCTGATTGGGCACTTCTGCCCGAGTTTGTTTGTGATAATCTATGTTTGCTGTATATAGCAGTCATTACACGTTACATCACTTTACTGTAAGCTTAATTCGCTATGTTATTTTAAGGAACATGCGTAAACTAATCTGAATCTTGAAAACGTAAACACAAAGAAGAAAACACAGAAGGCACTCCAACAGCTCGTTGAATTGTTTTTGAATTGTTTCGTCCTGCCTCTGTTAGAGGCCGCTTCCCACGGTGTCTGTGGCCGTACTCGCGGCCGTATGGGCGTGCAACCTGCTGCCAAAGGCGCCCTAGAATGGCCCACAGCACTTCGGGTCAGTGGTTCGTGTGCAATTGATTGACGGGATCACCGAAAGCATTATTGAGCTTATATTTATGGTCAAACAAATCTGTTAAGGTCTGGTGGTAGCGGACTTGGTTGACCTCAATATCCATATATAATTGTGACAGCACCTGGCAGTAACCACCACACCACCATTCTTAAAACGAATTTGGCAATCTCAGAGACGATCTCAGAGACGATCTCAGACGACTTCACTTTACATCCTGGAATCTATTTTGACCGAGATATTTCGATATAGTTAGACAGAAAGGTTCGATGGTTAGGTTGGAGGCGATGGCTTCTGGTAGGTTGGAGGCCATCGCTTCTAGGGTGGAGGCCATTGCTATTATGTTGTTCTTCAGGGCTTCAATCTCGCCGAGCCAGGTTTTCTCGGTGTCAGAGTCCTTGCGCTCCGTCGGGGGCCCCATGGCTCCGTTGGGAAGACTGCTTGTCGAGTTGAGCGCGCCGGCACCGGCCGCGCGGTCCACCGGAAAGAAATGATAAGCGTGATAAGGTCCACATAGGTCCACATATAGAATGAAGGTTTTTGGGATAAAAGACGAACGGCATTCAGGCATATTGTGAAACACTGGTGATTTGGTTGAATGGTAGCATGGTGATTGGACAACTTGAGGGCAAGCGGATACTCCTCCAAGCACGAAGCAAACAGATTTCCTGCTGAACCAGTGCTGTGGTGGAGTGACATTAGGCTGTAGTGGATCAACTTCCACTATGCCACCAACGGTTTCACAGTCCACGCAGGTCGAGTGATTTAGAGCTACAGACCTTGGCGATGAACAAATATTGATATAGAATAACATACTAAAATGGGATCTACTCGGAGTATGCCACTCAAGGCCAAGGGATCAGACCCACACGAGTACCCACACGACCGCAATGAGTCTTCACGTCGTCGCTGCGCCGGGAGCCCTCCAGCCAGGTGCGCGCACGCATAGCCGCTGCCGGACGGCGCGGCTCGCAGCGCGAGATGCTGCAGCGTGTGCGATGCTCGTCTCAAAGAGCCAACATGGTCAACTCGTTTTGTTTGGACAGGCACTGTCCCACCGGAGGGTTCTCTTGAATTTCGTAGAGAGCTGTAGCGACTATAGGTGGATTTGACCGGAAAACGACAAATGCGCCCTTTTGAAGAACTACTGTATGTGTCACAGCAAGGATGTTGTTGAACATTAAAGTTAAAAGCAACAAGTGGGGATAGAGTAAGAGTCTTTATTGGAAACTCTTGAGTTGTCCGAAGCTGATAATGAATCCGCCTGCAAGCAGAAACGGTTGCTGTGGCCACTTCTCACACATGAGCTCACCATGTCACCATGTAAGCTTCTTCCAGGGTCGATTTTGTCCCTCAAAGTATACGCTTTGATGCCGGTAGGAGTGGCTGATGCCGCTGGTGCCTGATTGTGCGCTCTGGCGCACCAACCAGAGCTGAGGACTCATCGCCGTCTCCAAGTTCATCCCCAGCGATCTGGTCAAAGAAGCACATGATGCTGGTCAGGCTGCTCGGACAATTCAAATGTTGAGTACTTGCCAAATCCATCCCAATCCAATATTATTGTATATAGTATGATATAATATGTTTCCATGGCAAGTCAAGGTATCGCATCATAGTCTAGACCATTTCACATATCAATCAATTCACCACTACCATATATTTTCATGGTATCACTGCTACAACTTGCAGCGAGTTCTTCCGTTCTTCGTCCAAAAAGTCCCACCGACTTCCCGTTTTCTGTCCGCTGCAACTCGACAGTCGCGACCGAAGCGGTCCATCGCTGGGTCCGCAGATCGAGGTGGACTTTGGCGAGAACTACGTGCAGGAGCTGCTGGAGAAAAGTGCTACCCTGCCCCAAACCATCAGGCCGAGCGCATGGAGACCGGGCGCACGCATCCACCGGTGGACTCTGTACAACGGATTTCTCACGGACATGGCAGGTTGCACGGGACCGTGAACGCCCCCGGTAGAACGGACCCAGTTCACGGAAGGGTGAGAGCTTCATTCTCTTGAGACAGACAGCAGGGGGTCGCCATAGCGGCAGAACGCGCCTCTTGGTATGGGAAGTCCTCCATTTTACTACCCCTCACAGTCAAGAACTTGATCAGACACTGGCCAATGAAGTCGAACCCTTGGCTGAGTTATTCTGCAGTTCCAATCGAGCATATACGTGGTCCCGACTCCCGAGAGAGGTATATGGTATATACTGGTGGGAGGTATATGGTATATACTGTTGATATATATAATATATATTATAGTTTGAACCACTTCATGAGCATTTCATTTTCTATCTACATCACTTTCGAGGATCCATTGATTGTTTTTTTTTCACTTAATCTATGCCAGTGCCGTTGTAAGACCCAAAGTTGAGCGGTCACAAAAGCGCAGCAATGAGAACCATCAGGAAGAACTTCATGGTTTTTGTATGTTTTTGTGTACAAGCGCCAGCTACGCGAGAGGTGGCACTTCATTGGTCGGCTTCAGTCCAATAAGGCACCACGGGCGATTTCCCGTCATCATCGTCCACGTGGACGATGCATGTTGCTGCAGTTGTAGATGTTTTTAGATGTTTTTAGTCCCATCAACATGAACGGTTTATGTGATTGTGCTGGATCGACAATGACATGTTTCTCAAAATTCGGAGACCTTTTCCTTTGGACCTATAACAAAAAAAGGAGCAGGTGAGCAGGAGATCACTCCTGGTTCCACAATGTCCAAACGATTGTTTCCCAATCTAAAGCATTGTATTTGCATGGATTGATAGACACATTTCTCAGTATAAAGCCATATAAAGCCGAAAAGACTTCAAGCCATTCCCGTTCTCTGACGGGTGCGCCATGGGCTCTTGTTCAAGTTGCTCAGATGGCGTGATCTCACGAGATGAAGCGAATAACTGAGTGTTTACGTAAGTCTTGGATTCCAAGATGTTCACCATCTTTATCTCAAACCAAATAGGGTGCAACTGCAAGTGGTTCAAAGCATGTTGCCTAATGTGATGGCAAAGAAGCTGAAGAGAGAAGAGAGAGAGAGAGAGAGACACAGAGCAAGGTTGTCCCACTACAGTAAACCCATTTGGTTTTCAACACCGCTGCATGGGACATCATGGGACTATCCAAGTAATTTCACCCCTATGATCCCCTATGTCATATTTAATCATATTATACTCTAACTCAACTCATGCTTACAGACAACAGCAAGCAGAAATCCAGGAAGCCACCTTTCCCTCCAACCAGCAGACTCCAACCGCTCTTCTCCGAAAAAGCCGTGCCTGGTTTCGCCTGTCGAGGTGAAGAAGCTGCTGGACGTGCCCAATTTGGTTTCCATCGAGACCGTCGACTCGGCTGCGTTGGCTGAGAGGACGCCACCCACCGCCTTGGTCGCGTCCGGGAGAGTCGAGGTCGTGGTGTCCGCGCTACCGTCCATGCTCTAGAAGGTGAGGAGTCAAAGAACTTTTAGACACTTAGCTGGCCTCCGTCAGGATCGCGGCAGCGGCGACCCATCGAGAGCAGGTGCTGGACTTGTCCATCCAGGCGGAGACGACTGATATAAGTAGTCAAACACGGATGAAGCACAGAGCCTTGGTTGAACATAGGTCAAGAAAGTTGGAGAAGTGTTACAGTGTGTATATATATACAGAACATGACAGGAAAACAATGACAGACCTTTCAGGGAATTGTTGGAAGAGCTACTGTACGAACTTCAATCCAAGAGAGCCCATTGAATCCTGTCGAAACAGATTCGCAGCATTTTGTTTACTGTTCAGTACTGTTCAGATGATTTTGTTTTAAGGGTCCAGCCAGAGTAGGAGGCAGCAGACACGTACGGATGGTATTTGGAGCGATAGTGTATTTGTGTGGAACTGTGCAAGGTGGGAGTGACTTTGAAGAGGGAAACCAAGCCATCTTGCCGAGGGCCAAGGGTGTGGGTCAAATTACACTCAGGCATTGCAGAATTGTTTGCAAACCAAAACAGCAGTATGCATCATCACGTGGTTGATGTTCAAGATCCTCAACACTTGGGTACGACAACTGTGAAAACCCCCATCTTGAAATTTGTCTATTTGGAAGGTGGTGCAGGAGAGTAGAGGAGAGGCGCTAGGCGCTAGGCACACCATGCCACCGACCCATTCTCTGTGCCAACAGCATCCTGGCAAGGTGGATACCAGCAATGAAGCTACCAAAGGCAAGTGGGTAAAAGTTTGCAAGGTAGCATGGAGGAACTCAAGCTCAATGAGCATTTCAGCTGGACACTGGGCCAGCCAGTTGTGGAATCCTCCGGAATGGGACACGGCTTTGATCTGGGGCTTCAGACTTGTGGCATTCAACACAAAGAAACTGTAAAACTACAGCAAATACATGCAAATACCCTTTACAGACTGCAGACAGGAGCTTATTGGTGTTTTGAAGTGTGCATTGTTGACCAGAAATCTGGCAATTCCTTGCATGAATGGACCGAAGGACCGACTGCAGTACCGACTGGCATTGAGTTAGGATTTCTATGAATTAGTGGTTCTCCCAATTGGCACACCAAGTGTCCTTTTACAATAGCAGACCCATGTTCGGCGTTTCACGAACACCATCGAACCGACCTTGCTTACAGTGTTGAGTATCTCATCACATCTCACCTACAAACGTTGACCAATCAAAAGCAGTCGCTCATTGTTTGTATATGTTTGTTTCAGTTTGTTTCTAGAGATTCGACGCTTAGTCCAAGAGACTCTTGAGCACCCCCTGCACTCCTCAAATCCCGGTTGACCCTTTGGTGCTGGGGACGCTTCAGAGATCCCCCTGCAGCCCCTTAATCTACCAATTTGCAGATTCCGTGGAAGGCCTTACCAAACCAATCACACTTACGCCACACAGCAACCTCAGCTATATAGGTCATTTGGACCCATTCAGACAGGTTGTGCCTTCAGGCGGCGTCTCCCCCGATGCTGCCCTGCCACTGGCAGAGCACGTGGCCGCGCTGTCACCGCACGTGCGCTTGGCCAGAGGTCTCAGGTACCGAGGCGTCTCGCGTGGTCTCGGAGTGGATGATGTGGATGGGCTGAGAGCGTGACCCTTTTGAGAGGATGGACGGGGCCAGTCAGTGGCCGAAATGGTTTTCTGGTCCACTCCATGGCCTGCTCAAAAGGGTCCACTCAATGTTCCAAGAGAGGTCAGCATTTGAGTGACAACACTTCCTCTCTACGGATCAGCGTTGGGCAAGAGGGCTTCTACACTCCAGTGTTCTTTGCTGGTTTGGGGGGCCGTGGCAGTCCATGTCCAATTCAAAGGAATCTTCAATGGTTTTATACTTTGATCCCTTTTATGGTTGATCCTCCCAGCCTCAGCCCCAGATCTTTCTCTAGGCAGATGTTTGGATCGCCATGACCCCTAATTCTCGCGTGCCCATCTGCTTTCCTGACTCATTTGCCTGGCGAAGATGGCCAGAAGCTGCACCAGTGCCGTGGCACCGCCGTGCCTTCCGAACGCCGCTCCGAATCCGAGGCCGGGCTCATGACCATCGGAGCGCCGGGCGACCTGAGCGCCTTTGAGCGGCTCCACCAGCTGCGGCACCGGATCGCCCAGCAGCTCCAGGCGCATCGCTGTCAAACCAAAAGGTGCAACAAAACGACGCTAATTTGTCACGAAAAAATTCGTCATTTGATCACATCAGGGTGCAGAAGGAAGTACGAATTGTTGGCCTGAAGACCACATGTGCAACGCGCAAGATGAGGTGTGCAGATCTGTTTGTGGCGTTTGCTGTGAAAATTGCAAGGATTGCGTTGAAACTTATGTTTGTTTACTTGTTTCAGACACCACCTAGGTCATTTATGTACTTGAGGGCTAGGTCAGGTCTCATGTACTTGGGCCAGGATAGATGCATTTGGGCTTTGCAGGGGATAACTTGTGAGGTTTGTACTTGAGTTCAGTTGAGATTACTTGCGAGGATTGATGAAGCTTTTGAGCTTTGCTCGAGAGGTTTGTACCTGAGGACTAATGTACTTGAGACTACTATTGGGTTTGTACTTGAGCTTTACTTTGGATTACCTGTGGGGATCATACCTGACCTGTACCTGAGATTAACTGTGAGGATGTGCGGGAGCTTTACTTGTGGATGCACTTGTTCATTAGACTTGGATCAGCTTATTGATGTTTGTTCATGCAAAATTCAATTGTGGATGAGTTGTGTTATTGCAGATTGATGCAGATTTCAACTTCATCACAACCTGACCACAGTTTGTGCAAAGTTTCATCACAACTTCCCCATTTTGGAAGTGTTCAATCCTCCTGCCAAAACATCATCAAAAAGCACGGGAGTTTGACCAATTGACAAGCAAGTCCTCAAAGTGAGGCGGCAGCAGCTGGGTGTGAAACTTGTGGAGATGTTCTTGCGTTGTACTTGAGATAACACGTGAAGACTGATGTCCTTGAGATTTAATTACTTAGGATTACTCATGAACTTGCACAACCTTGCACATTCACTTGAGGTTACTTGTGGATTTGCAGCACCTTTTGTCCTCACTTGTTCTTGAGAAGTCCCTAGTAGTTGTTTATCAGCATTCATTGGGTGGAGATTGTTGTTCAACGCAATTCGGATCTTGATAGTAGTTTTGTTGTCCTTCAAAACCAAGCAAGCAAGGGTGCCATCTTGGGAGCAGCTTGTTGAGGAAAGTGAGAACAATTGTGCAAGCCAAATCTCAAGCACCTGTTTCGTCACAGGCACACATGCTCAATTGTGCGCCACAGGTACACTCTTCACAGCAGGATCCTCACAAGTCTATTCAAGCATGCGCAAGAAGGCCTCACAAGCAGACAGCACAAGCAAAGATTTGTGACCCGCTGTCAAGATAGAGATAGACCTATTTCAACAGAACAACACCACTGGTTTTGTTTTATTACAAATCGGAACGCACTGTTGGTTGCAATTAAAACTATGAGGATTTACAAACAGCAAAGATTGTCTAAAATACAGCTACAAATTAGATATTTGCACAATTTATACATCAACAAGTTGATAGTACAATGTAATACTTGAGTTGTTAAATTAGGTAGCACCTAAATGAACTTACATAATGTTTCAAGCTTAGTTTGTTCAACCTTATCTGAACAATTTGCATATTCTTTCACGCGTTAAGCTGGGTCTTTACTTAGGGTAAGGTAGATCAAACAACACGCGGGTCGGAAAATCTTAAGAATCATGTGGACAAATAGAGTGCACGATCGTCTAGGACTCGAATGTAGAAAGTGGTGCATACTGTTTGTTGGGCTGTGTTGGTCAAGGTGTCTTTGGACAGGCGTAGCCACAGACATGGCTGTTGGTCCAACACACTCTGACACTTGTATTCCGTTAATGCAAGTTCACGGTGGGAAGGAAGGTGATGGAACGGTAAGGCGAAAGAGTCCGCTGAGAAGTATTGTTGAACATTGTTCACTCAAAACGGTTGCGAGACGATCAAGATGGCGGCGCAGCTGCTGGGGAAGAAGAAAGGTTTGCGGGAAGGTATCATGCGAAACCACCATGAATCAAAAAGCGGAAAAGGAGGGTAACAGCTTGTGAAGCACTTTGCAGGTACGTTCTCAAGGCGTCCCTCGAGAATATCCTGACGAATGGCTGGAGCTTCGTTGGATCAGGCCAAGCCAAACGTCCCTGATCCCCCTGCTTGCGAAGGTGGTGGTGGAAAACCCTTTGTCCAGGGGTGGACACACACACACACGCACACACCAGTGGTTCGTAAGGACGTTTTATCAGGTCCTCATCACAAAATGAAGCTCGGATGGGTGGAGGTAAAGTCTCAAGACACACAAAAAAAGGTCACGGAACCGCAGCATATTACCCCCCAACCGTAAGTGTCGAAGTCAATGAAGAACAGGCAAAAGGATGTGATGAAGAAGATGATCATGTTGCGGTGATGACAATGTAGATGCGGAGTAGATGCAAGTGCAGAAAAGGTCAAAAGCCAAAGGCGTCGTGAGAGGTGGGGTGGGGCAAAACACACATATATAGTTGATGTATATATGTATTTTCATTGTAAAGGATAGAATCGCAAAAACAATGTAAATAGTATACATGTGCTGTGTTGGCTCACATCGGACTGGCAGTAGGTTTAAAAAGCAACATCAGTGGCAGCCCCTTGTAAAGTTGAAGGGAATTGGGTTACGGAGGTTTAAGGGTTTAAGTTTCACCGGCATATTGGATAATGATCTAGCTGTTCAGTAGTTTGCCAAGGTGCTACAAACCAGGTTTCAAGGAATCACTCGTTGGCGGCACCTAATACAAGGACAAACCTCCTCATAGAGATTTGTTTTCGTGTTCAAGTTGGATTCTTCTGCAACGTTAGAAAATTCAGCCCAAAGGATTTTCCGCAGTAGCTACACAGATTTGCTTGCGACGTAGAGTTTCAATGGACGTAGAGTGGATGGTTCAAAAAGCCTCCCCGTTTGTTCGAACGAGAAGAACGCGCAGGTCGTGGAAGAAGAGCTGCAGCTAAGCATGGGCATGTCCGGCGACTTCGAGGAGGCGGTGAGAGTGAGATGGACGGTGATTCCGCGGCGTGTGTGACTCCACACGAAGCCGAGTCAGGTGCCCCCCTAAGAGTTTCAACCAAAAGCGGGCATCGGATGTTCTTTGGAGTTGCCAGGTGAAGCATGATCCAACAGCCCCCACCAAAGGTGTCGTTAGTGGAAGCAACTGGTTGCCTTGCACCGGACTCGAGGCACCGGTCGCCGGTCGCCGTCAGGGGGGTGCGAAGTACCGGAGAATCCGCCAAATCCGCCGAATCCGATCCGAATCCGTATGAAATAGGAGAGAAGGTCGAAGCCAAGTGAAACATGTGATTACTTACTTAGCTTTGAGACAATTCTTGGAGTTTGGTCATGTCATGTCATGTCCAATGCACACTGTTCCTGGTGTTTGGGATTGTCGTGCGTATTCTTTCCACTGGATTTACCTGTGCTGCACATGCCAAAATGGCCATGAACCAAATGAGAACTGTGATGTTCCCGGGGTGGTCAACAACATGTAATTACCTTGTGTTTGACAAACATAGACCCACCTCCTCCAGTCCATCACATGTCGGGACGGGACTCCTCTTTCATGAGTGCTTGAGCACTGCGAGCTGTTTCTGGTGCCCAACATGGAAGTTGTTGCTCTTTCTGGTGCGACCATTGCCAAGCTTGATGAGGATGCGTTGCATGGCATGGTGGAACAAGGATACACCATCAGAGACTTGAAGCGATTCCTTGCAAATCGAATTGGATATTCTAGGTTTCGGCAAAGACTCTTCAACGGAGAAACCAAAGAGCTGGCAGATGACATGTTTTTGACGCCCCTGCCATGTGTGCAGTTGGTACTCCTGGACTTTGGTGCTTCTGATACCACCAAGGAACTATTGAAAAACTGTAGACAGAATCGCGTGCACGAAGTTGAAAAGTTGCTTCAATGGTCACAGGATCCAAATCAGAGATGTCCTGTTGGTGACCTGAGCCTGGTACCAATTCATGTGGCTGCCCTCGCAGGCCATATGGAAGTTGCACAGCTGTTGCTGGAAGCTGGAGCTGACAAAGATGCTGCATCAAATAGTGGGAAAACGGCTTTGTACTTTGCAGCAGGGGAAGGCCACATGGAACTTGTACAGCTGTTTCTGGAAGCCGGAGCTGACAAAGATGCTGCAGCAGATACTGGGGCCACGGCTTTGATAATTGCTGCAGCGAATGACCACTTGGAAGTGGTGCATGTACTGCTGGAAGCTGGAGCTGACACAGAGGCCGCATTTGGAACTGGGAAAACGGCTTTGGTTATTGCAGCAGAGCAAGGCCACTTGGAAGTTGTACAGCTGTTGCTGCAAGCTAGAGCTGACAAAGAGGCAGCACCAGATAGTGGGGCCACCGCTTTGTTTATGGCGGCAGCGAAAGGCTACTTTGAAGTTGTGCGTGTACTGCTGGAAGCTGGAGCTGACAAAGAT